TTAGATTTCCTTCCAATGTCATAATAGATTTGCTGTTTACGCGCAGATAATACTTACACGCACCTTAAGTCGTGTTGAAATACTGTAACTACGTCATGGAAATCGCCTATGTTCAACGTTGCCAATTGCTTTTATTAAGTGCAGGGCTGCCATCACCCGTAATACGCTTACCTAAAGGGCTCTGTCCCACGGTCAGTAATTATCACGATATTTGGATCGCGATCCATATTGATGGATTGATGAATCGCGCACGAATGCTACATGTTCAATATTTAGCGCGTCAGTATTTGCATATTTTTTTTGCTGAACGCTTATTATGACGCAAGAAAATATTTTTATTTTGTACGTATAATTTACAGATAATGCATTTATTATTTATGACAATTATTTTAAGATTTGTTCAATTTGTTTTGAAAGATTTTAAGCCCCGAGAGTGAAGGCAGAGCCAATGTTTACATTATGAGAGTAAAAGATGTACTAAAGAAATGTATGGATCGCGTTTTGAAAGTGCTACACGTTCAATATTTATTGACGGTATAGCGATCCGCGATCCAGATTTCAAAATTTTTAGAAATTTTGCGATATGGATCACGATCCATCAATACTGCATACTACACCGTCAATAAATATCGCGATACTTGGATCACGTCAATAAATACTGACCGTGTGACAGAGCCCAAAGAATATAACATAAAGATGTGAACGCAATGGCAATTTTGAACCGAAACTAAAGTCGATGTTTAAAACATCGTTAAAATTGACATCGATATATCGCCAATTTTACGATGTTGAGTAATTTTCAAATATCGATGGTAAACATCGGTTTTTTGGACGATGTTATCGATGTTTCAGAAACATCGATGCATCGTTTGCATCCCTAAACATGAACGCTTATAGAGTTCCATTCACGCACTTGCAAACGCCCCAGCAAGCATATCCGCCAATTAATAGTTATAATCCGGTTTATAAAATACGTGACATAATAGACCTTTTACCATCGTTTAATCCCATATCGGATTCTTCACTGAATGCAACTGAATTTGTTAAAAGGGTCGAAATGCTTAAAAACGCATACCGGTGGGATGAAAGTATGTTGTTATGTGCAGTGCAGCAAAAGATGCAAGGGTCGGCAAAGCTTTGGGTTGATTCGCTGCCGGAGATTTTTATGACATGGTCCCAATTTGTTTCGCGATTTTTAAACGATTTTCCGCATTCCGAGAACACGGCCGAAATACACATTAAGTTGTCACGACAAAAGCGATCGACGAATGAATCTCCACAAGAATACTATTATAAGATGTATTCTCTTGGTATGAAAGGTGGATTGTCGGAAAATGCCATCGCCCTTCATATCATAAACGGTATTAATGATGTTGACTTACGCAGGAGAATATTAAATGACTATGTGCGGTGCAATGACTTGTTACGCGATATTAACAACTACAGTGTGTTTAACGAAATCAAGCCGGTAACGCAGTATAAACCGAAAAATTTCCCACAAAACAGTACGAATACCACCCCAAGTGAAAATCGTGTTTCGAAAACGTTTGAAAATGTGAAGTGCTATAACTGCCTTAAATTCGGTCACTACGCATTAAAGTGCCCCGAACCTCAAAAAAAGCAGCGTTGCGAGAAGTGTTTGCGCACTAATCACAAAACCGAAAATTGTCCGAAAAAACCCAAAAACGATATCCGTGCAATTGGTAAAACGCTTGAAAATAAAATAATTTGCGAAAACGGTATAATTAAACCAATTAAAGTTAATGAACATAATTCAAACGCTTTTATTGACCCGGGAAGTACCAGCACATTCGTACGGGAAACGTTCTGCAAATCGCTGGGTGAAGTTATCCCATGTTATGTTACACTAAATGGTTTTGGAGGTGGTAAGGTTGTGTGTAACGGTAAACTAAATGCATTGTTAGAGATTGATAACGAAAAATATAAAGCAGACATGTTGGTCGTAAACGATGACTTGTTAAGTGAGAATGTGTTGCTGGGTACAGATAGTTTGTGTCGTGATGGATCGCGTCTCATAATTGAAAGCGGTCAATGTAAGTTCGAAAAAGTATTAAATATTACAAATGTAACAAATGGTAATGCAAGCGAAAGTAACAAGCTGAAAAATATATTGAATACAAATCGCGAAGTGTTTGCGGAGAAACTTTCCGAACTGGGTCCAAATCATATCCAGTATTATAAACGAGTTGCTTGAAAACAACATTATACGTCCGTCTGACTCACTGTACGCCTCTCCAGTCGTGCTAGTTGAAAAGAGTAATGGAGAACACCGTCTCTACGTTGATTATCGCTGTTTGAACAAAATAACGGACCAATGCCAATAATGGAGGAACACTATGCGCAACTAGCAGGTAACAAGTTCTTTACTTCTTTAGATTTGCGTATGGGTTACCACCAGATAGAGATTGGTGAAAGTTGTAAGAAGTATACAGCATTCGTAACAACAGACGGTCACTACGAGTACAATCGTATGCCGTTTGGTTTAGTCAACGCTCCAGCCATGTTTCAGGCTGTGATGAATAAACTGATAGTTAAAATGAAGCCTGGCGAAGTACTCGCATACCTCGATGATGTCATCATTCCTACCCGTACAATAGAATAGGGTTTGCAATGACTCCAGAAGTTTATCGGTTTATTGCGAGAATCTGGATTAACCCTGCGTCTATCGAAATGTAAGTTTTTGCAACCCGAGATCGAATATCTGGGTCATATCATAAATGAAAATGGTATAACGCCGGAAACACGAAAAGTATCGGCCATACGAAATTTCCCAACACCGACGAATATCACCGAATTAAGAAGATTCCTTGGACTTACTAGGTTTTTTAGGAAATTTGTGCCAAATTACGCATTGCTAACGAAACCCCTTACGATTTTGACACACAAAGCCAACGAAAATAAATTTTTTCGGGACGAACCACAGAAAAACGCTTTTTCTAAAATCATCGAGATACTGACGAATGAACCTGTTTTAGCCTTATTTGATTCTACGGCACAACACGAAGTACACACTGATGCAAGCAGCGTTGGTCTTGCCGGTGTGTTACTACAATCGAAAGACAGTAAGAACTGGAAGCCTGTAATATACTACAGCAGACATTGCACCGATGTAGAAAGCCGCTACCACTCCTACGAATTAGAATCGATGGCCGTAGTCGAGGTTCTCGAGCGTTTTCGCATCTACCTGTTGGGCAGAAGATTTCGACTGGTTACTGATTGCTCAGCAGTTGCTAAAGTTCGCGACAACAAAGAACTGAAGTCGAAAATTGCGCGTTGGTGGCTGAAACTTCTGGAAATTGAATTTGAGGCCGTGCATCGTTCTGGAAGCTCTTTAGCTCACGTAGATGCCTTAAGCAGATAACCAGATCAACCTGCAGGTAACGTTGAACCAGCTGGGTTCGTAATGAAGATAGATCCAAACGTAGACGACTGGTTGTACACAATGCAACTGCAAGATCCTGTGTTAAACGAAATCATCGCTATTCTGAGTGGAAAAACTAAGTCGCCACGTGAACCTGAGTTACGCAAAGAATATAAAATTCACAATCATCGACTATACCGTAAAGAAGATAGTGCACTAAAGTTCGTGGTGCCGAAAGCAGTAAGATGGCGTGTTGTTCAACTGTGCCATGATCAAATTGGTCATTTTTCCGTCGATAAAACTATTGAACGCATACGACAAACATTTTGGTTTTCGCAAATTCGAAAATATGTCAAAAGCTATATAGCCGCTTGTATAGACTGCTGTTACCGAAAAGCACGTTCAGGCAAAACTGAAGGTAACTTACACTACGACAGTCTCGAACCGATACCATTTCGCGTAATCCATATGGATCATTTAGGTCCATTCGTACGCAGTAAAAAAGGCAACAATTACATCCTTGCCATATCAGATGCGTTTTCTAAATTTTTTATTGTTAAACCAGTGCGCGATACAAAGACTTCGCATGTTATAACCGTGTTAAATGTAATTACGTCATATTTCGGGTTACCGTCGCAAGTAATCACTGATAGAGGTACCGCTTTCACCTCCAAGACATTTGAACTATACTGCCAACAAAACGATATAAAACACGTTAAAACTGCTGTGCGAACACCGCGTTCAAACGGCCAAATCGAGCGCGCGAATCAGACAATATTGAACTTTTTGCGTACATCAACTGAAAACCCGAAAGAATTTACAATGGACTATAAACTCTCAGAAAAACAGTACTGCGGTTTTAGTCCTAATGAACTTATATTTGATTTCAACCTTCGCGATATAGTACACAACCGATTGCTAGCCGCGGTGCATCATGATACGACTGATTACGAAAATCCGGTAAATATTGTTGATAAGCGAAATCAAGCAAATGAAAATGTTGAACGCGAAAGACAGAAATAGAAAAAACGGTTTGACGCAAAACGTGCCACACCGCGCGTATTTAAAGAAAACGATCTCGTGGTTATTGAGCAAGAGCCGCCCGCAACCGGTGAATCGCGTAAACTAATACCTAAATACCGAGGTCCGTATCGCATCGCAAAAATCTTAAATAAAGACCGATATATGGTTGAGGATATACCGGGTTTACAAATCAAAGCACGAAAATTCTGCTCCATCTTTGAATCCAGCAAAATTAAACCTTGGTGCGAAAGCAGTCCTGAGCTCGACGACGATTTAACCGACTCCGAAGAAATCGAGGACGATTTCCCTTCAGGATAGGCCGAGCTGTCACGCTTGGCAACCCTGCTTAGAAAAGCCGAGAAGCCAGTAGTATTCGGGTCGCTAGCGGAGTCAATCAACTTTTAATTACTACGTCTGATAAACATTAAATTTCTCTTAATAATTACTTTTGCTTATTTAAAAATGTTTAAAATCAGTACAATTGCTAAAATATACATTTGTATTAAACTTTAATGTAAATAAAACAACCATCCATTGACACTTCTATTTGGGGATATAAAGTGGCACAGCGCATTCGATGTAAAATATCTTCGGTCTAATGGTCCTTAAATTTTTCCCATAAATTGATGGGGTTTGAAGGAAAACATGTCGATATCACGATTGCAAATAACGTCCGTAGTTGATGTGGATAAGATGATTGTACTGCATCAGCTAACGTATATTCCCAATGCATATCATTTTCCAGCAATTGTATCTTTTGGCATGCTTCACGATATGTTGCAAACACTTCGCCGCGCACTGTTCTCACAGATATGAACGATGTCGGTCCACGAACATTAACTAATAACAAACGCAAATAAAAGCATTTATCACTACTGGGATGCACTGTATAAATGCGTCCTAACGCATCTGTTGAAAAGACACCCGGATGGCCTGCAACTGGCGTTCCTTGTTTGCGTCGTTGGAATGTTTTTGAAGATTGATTCCACGTGTAATATCGCGGCATTTCAGCGTAAAGCAACGTTCTTGCAAATGGGTCGGTTCGGCACGTCGCGAATAAACTTGTTTTGTAGATGGTGAAATTTCTGGCCTCTGAATTGCATTATTCGTTGTGAAGTATACCCGTTGGCCATTTTCGAGGTGGACTGCCAAATGGACCACAATAGGATACCTTTCATGAATGGGAAATGAAAAAATTCGCCATATCGCTTCATTGCTGCTAATATACCGTCCCAATTGGTACTGCGTTAATTCGTCGTTCGTATTTGTACCAGTAACACCGAGAACCGCCATGTCGCGTCCTTTTGTGACATATTTGCATATGTACTTAATTGATTTGACAGAATTGCAGTATTCCACGTTGATATGAGCGTTAAACGCCTTAGACCATAATGGCGAATAAGGTACGACCCACCGATTGTCGACTTCAACATCCTGTCCATTTATTTTCAAGGTGGTAGATTTTCCGTTAAAATCAGTGGATCGACGACGATACAACGGATACCCATCATTTCCGGTTATATCAGCAATCAACGCCCTTGGATATCGCTTTGAACATTTCCTATCGATCATGCATGGCGAGTTGGGTTTCAGTCGTCCGCATGGGCCATGAATCATGTTTTTTGTTACCCCTGCAAACAATCCTGGATCAGCCGCTTCCTCAGGAATTTCTGCTGAAATAACGTCATCAATGTCATTGGGTCTTATTTTATCAACTAACCAAATTAGAATGTGGGCATGTGGCAACCCACGTTTCTGCCACTCAACTGAGTACATCCAACAACGTGTCTCGCCAAATACACGGCTGATTACAATTAAATTCATAAGTGATTTCAATTTTTGTTTAAAAACACGTGTCGTTATATCATGACGGTCTAGTGACGATTGGCCCGGAAATAGAACGTCTTTTACCTCCTTCCATTGGGGATTGCAGGTAAAAGTAATGAACAAATCTGGGCGCCCGTATAGGCGAACATATGTAATCGCATCTTGTGCATATTCATGCATGTGGCGTGGACTTCCAATGTACGTAGCTGGTAAAATCGTCATTCGACCAACATTATTAGCATTACCGTCTATGTTGATTGCATCACGAAGATGAATGTACTCTTCAGAACGCAACTTATAAAAGTCAAGCGCTCGGTTTCGATTTTAACGTACATGTCAACGACATATTGGTGAAATAGCTTGCGACATTTCAGAAGGTAGTTATCGTCATTTTCACGAACCATCATTCGATAGGCGTAAAAATTCATCGCGCTTACTTTTTTGTTCGACTCGATGCCTACACTTTAACAAATATGAATATAATGGATGATTTATGCAGTAATTTATAACGTTACTCACCAGTTGAAGGGTTTATCATTTTAATTGTGAAATGATATCCATCTTCACCCTGCCAAAACAACAATGGATACTGCAAAGCATCGTACGACCGGTGTGTCTCTGACACTCGTTGTAAATTGTCGCTTCTGCGTTCAAGGATAATATCTCTTGATTGCACGTTTTCTCCAACAATCACTAGAGCCACATCGGCTATTGTCGGTGCATTGAATCGACCTGCATGCTCTTCGGGTGGAGTTTTGTCAGCTCGGATCACAATCTTATAATTATCAGACGGCATCCGATCTAGATCCGTCTTAAACATTCTAATCAATTCATTGTGCTCATGAAGTAATGCTTGCACTTTGTTGGACAATTTCGCGCTTCGTGTTGGAATAATGAGCGCTGCGTTGCTGAGCTTCTGCGTTTGCTCTATGGTAAATTTGACCTTGAACTTGTCATTTAGACGTTAAACCAATGTGTGATGTTTCTATTTATTTTTCTCCCATTTTTAAGCATCACAAAGCTATTATATATATGAACTCGTTAATTCATATGGGCATTTCTACGAAAAGGTCATCCACGACTGAAAATCTTTTCAAGTTGACTGCATCGTTCTCAGCTATTAAGCTTTGCATATATGTAACCCTGGTGCTCTCCATCGGCACAATTTTTTGTAAGTCACTTCCATTACTATACGATTTACTTAGCTCTTAAGTCGTACTAATGTCGCGTCCGAAATCATGGAAATACCCATATGGAATCAGTGGGCGGAGTTAACCTTACCTACTGAATGAATTATTATTTTTCCTTCTTTCATGTTTATTTTACTATTGAATAGAATATTAAAATTTAAGCGCAGATTAATATGTGTGTAAAAGAACACGGCTATTAACTAATAAGAATTGATTATATAATTCAATCATATGTTCCCATTTTGAAGGTTAAGTTATTTCAAAATTAACCGGAGCTTATCTTAAACGTCGGATTGAAATTGTCTCTTATTATGTGCGTAGCGCCAAATGAAGTCATTTGGAAGCATTTATTGTAGGTCTGAATATTCTGCAGGAAGTGTTTCGAATCACTTCCTATTCCTGATATTAATGAACGCAAAGGCTCGGGTGGAGGAATCAATGCCGGTAATTTAACTTTGCCACCTGCACAACATAATCCGGCGGCTTCATTTCAAAATTTGATTGCCTTACAATGAGAACAAACGACGCTCATAGATCCCATAGAGATGGATATTTCCGCACTATAGTCAATCGTAGAGTCGTAGTGGAACGCAGCACGTTGCAGATTTGTTGGGGCGCAGCTTTGCCTTCGCCGTCGATTACTGGCATTACGATTGGTGCGATTGTCAGCTGATCGATTTGCAATCTCCCGATTGCGTCTCATTCTTAATCTATCGACTGTATTTCGAGCGCTGCCTCTTCCTGCGTCTGCATCAATCGTACTTGCAACATTCGTTGTCGATTCAATTCATTTTGAGTTGTACGCTCATCATCGACTTGACGTGTCCGATAATTTCTCATTGTATTGGCAGTACGACCGCGCCGACCGATATTCAACCTTCTTATTGCAGGCATAGCACAATTTATTTATCAAATTTAACTGAAAACAATAATGATTCCACAACATGACACTTATTGAACTATGTACTTAAAAATCAATAACACTATAACCCACCTTTAGAACCCACCCAGCATTTTCTGAAATTATTGATCATATTCGAGTATTTTTTGCATCCTCTCCGCGATTAAAATAATCATAAATGCGCTCATATTCTGATCATAAAAGAAAATGGTACCCTGGCCGCGACTCTTCTTCACGAGTCTTTTACTACCCACTTTTCTGACCATTTTTGACACTTTTTCGAGTCGTATTTACAATCATTTCCGAGTATCGTGCGAATAACTTTTCAGGCGTATTTCTAAACACTTTCGAGTCTTCCTCGAGTAATTAATAAGCTCTATTTCTAATCGTTTTCGAGTCTTTTGTTAGTCATTTTTCAGTTGCATTTCTATCTTTTGAGAGTCATTTTTATGCGTATTTGTAAGCTTTTGTGAGCCTTTTTCGAGTCATTTTTCAATTGTAATTCAAATCACTTGCGAGTTTTTTCCCAGTCATTTTTCATTCGTATTTCTAAACATTTTCGAGTCTTTTTCAAGTCCTTTTCAGTCTATTTTCAAATCTTTTGTGATGCAAAAAATTAAAAATTAAATTAATTTATAATTAGCAAATCAGCATACATATTTTATTGAGTTCAAAAACGCGATAATGAAATAACAAAATTATTTTTTAATAAATCCATTATTAGAGTTCTAAGTCCATTATTAGAGTTGAAAATGTTGTGAGAATGTATTGACACAGAGAACTTTTCACCATGTATGCAAGGTTTTTTATTCTAATTTCTTTTCGCAAACTTTTTATAAAAACATAGCTCATATTACAACAGAAATGTAAAAATTAACTTTCAAAACTTTGTGCAAAACTGTGGCATTTTTTTTTTTATAAAGGTGTTCCCACTTACAGGTTTTATGTCAATAGGAACGACTTCCTGTAAGTTCTGACTAAATCCTGTAAACCGGACTGCTATTGGAACAGACTAAATGCACTAATCGCGCGCTGTGATGTTGATTCAAACTCAACATTTGAAAACACCTTTACATGTATGGCTGTAGCTGAGTGTGCAAAGACGCTTGACTGGTTGCGGCCGAGAGGGTCCGGGTTGAATTACCATCAGACGGAACATAAAATTAATTTTTTTCTTCTTAATTACGAAAAATCATCTGTGCACTTCACAACCACATATTTGATAACGTATATACTCAAATTTAAAACGAGTTGGGTTGGTGCTCTTTCATATGAGTATTTTTTCAATTGACCACGTTTTTTTATTCTAAAAGGTTTTCCCTCAGTGTTGGAATGTGAGTTTATGACATTCGATTCGATACTAGGGTTCTGGTACTCGATTCCAAAAAATATCGTTTTGAAACTATCGAGTAGAAAATATCGGTATCGAATGCCAAAAGTATCGATATGGTATCGTATCGAAATGGCACCCTGAAATTGTGCATATGGAAACTGTGCATACGAAATAATGCATACGAAAAAAACCGAAATAATGCATACGAAAAAAACCGAAATAATGCATATATGCACAGTTTCGGTTGAAAACCGCAATAATGCATATTACAAAAACCGAAATTATGCATATGCACTCTTTCGTTTGAAAACCGAAATAATGCATATGAAAAAAACCGAAATAATGCATATATGCACAGTTTCGTTTGAAAACCGAAATAACGCATATGAGAAAAACGAAGTAATGCATACATGCACAGTTTCGACTCAAAACCGAAGTAATGCATATGACAAAAACCGAAATAGTGCATACATGAAAACGAACTTCTTTCTGA